GGAGATTCATTTAAAAGTTTACTAACGCGTCGTTGCAAAACATTCTGCTTCACGAAGCTCCCCTCCACAAGATCTCCTCAGTCACATCAATGTCTCAACGGTTACTTTCTTACAGTCTTTATTGTTGCTGTTTCATTTCTGCGTATTCCTTTCACAATTATCTGAGCTTGTATGGAAGCTAGCAGAAGAAATAAGCCTTCAATCGGCATCAAAGTGCTTCCAATCTTTTGGTCCTCCGGCCAACGGCAATAAAAGTAACGCCAAAAAATCCAGATTTTGCCCAAATAAAAACTTAACAAGAACAAAATATCATTGATCTATAATCCTGAGAAGTTTTAGTGTCGTACTGAACCCGGCCAAGCGCGATGCAAACGGATTTTTCAAGATTCTCTTACTCTCCTCGCATCTTTTGATTTCGCGACATCCTGTCCAAAAATCAAAGTTTGGTGCATGCGCAGTAACGGGATACTTTTTCTAGAAAGCACCTAAAGCACAGTTTCGTTAATCTATAAAATGTTCATCCTTTTAGCCACAGTATATAGTTATAGTCTTTTAGCATTTTATCAGGAGCACCTAGCGAGGGTTTCCTTATAGATGCTTCGAAAGCACTTTTTAGGTTATCTAGAATACTTATAGATCTCTAGAAATGCATTCTAAGCGCTGCTATAAAATTTCCCTCTGTTCGGTTGGCCTAGGGCAACTTGCAATTGAGTCTTTCCGAAATTACAAGGGTCTCCAAAATTTTCGGATTCAAAAAATGCGATAGAGAGAGGAATCAGAAAAATTCTCACTTTCGTAAAACTTAAAATTTCCGGGAAAATAATACTGAGCTCAGTATTATTTTCCCCGAAAAAAATTAAGATGCAATTTTCAGTTTTACGAAAGTGAGAATTTTTCTGATTCCTCACTCCATCAGATTTTTGAATCCGAAAATTTTAGGGATTCCGTTTACTGTGAAAAATATGTAAATTGGGGACTGAAATGCGGAAAATTAACTTTAGAAAATCGTAGGGAATTTATTAGGTATTCTGCGAAAATTGTACATGAATGGAACGGCCGTCTAGAAATTTTTACGGCCCTTTCTCAAGCTTTAGAAAATTCTAGAAAATTGTTTCTTCTCCGAACAGTTATTTTATAGAAAACAGTCGTTGGGTGCCCCTGATTTTATCTTATATTCACAGCTTATCCTATTTTTATCATTTTCATCTTTTAGTTATTTCATTTATTTTATACAGTACCCCATTGATAACAGTATATTATACACTGATGGGAAACATTATAGAGAACATGTATAGTGCTTTTGCTGGTTCAGCAATTGCACAGGGACCATGTGTTGGCCGAATCGATCGGTGGTCAGAGTGGAATCCGACAAGCCGGGAACCACTTTGGCTCCTTCTCTCAGGTGCAACAGATCCACCTAAGGAAATTGGAATTTCTAAGAGACGAACTCGGGATGCACAAGGAGATAGGAATGGTGTATTTTTAGCTGGTGTAACTCGTGATTTAGTCAACATGGAAGATGTAGTTGGAACAAAGCTGTACAACACTGTTAAAGATCTTTATCTCACTAAGGACGCAGCTCTTCGACATATCGCCTTGCTTTTTGAAAAATGCAAGGACACAAACGCCAAGCCTATGTTGTACTATACAGGACATGGTGAAATTGGCACTGGAAACTGGTGCTTTGCGGATGGGACAGTCAGTATCATAGAGATTTTTTACATGGTGCCTAATGGCTGTTGTTACCCACTGATATTCAGTGATGCCTGTTACAGTGGTCACTGGGCAAATTTCTGTCTTAAGAAAGGTCTTTCTACTTTCCACTGTTTAGCAGCATGTCCGGAGTACTCAACGGCTCTTGATACCAAAGGTGTGTATGATTTACATGCGTTAATTAATATGAAAAACCCAGTTAAATTATATTAGGAGTACGCCAGTGGCGCCGGTACGAGTTCGAAGTATCCACTCAAACAAAGCTTCTGCCATTAAGCTATATGGGAAACGCCCATCGTGATTCTACAGAGAAACCTCGATGTAACAGAGGGCCAAGGGATTGGCAAAATTTGTTCGCTATACAGCGCAACCCCGATATAACGAAGCTCTTTATTACGACAGCCTCGGTATAACGAACAATTTTGTTTTCAACCCGTTGTTATTAACAGTAAATCATCTATGAAGAGAAAGCACAATATAACGACACCTCGACGTTATGGCGAACATATTTTGCCACTTACTTGGTCCTTCGTTATACCGACGTTCCACCGGTATTTAGTATATACACACTCAGTGATCTTGGTGTCTTAAGCAATCTGATCGGTTCGCTATCTCGGGCTATTCAACAATATTCACTTTCGAGCGAGTGGATAATGCGTAATTCGTAATCTTGAAAACAAAAACAAAATGGCGGGTGTAAACTCGCGTTTCGCTCAAGTTTCAGAAGCAGAAATATTACAAATACAAGACGAGGCTGTGCCTGAGAATACAAAAAAGGCAACTAAGTATAGACTGAAAGTTTTTAAAGGTAAGAGAAGACTCCAAAGTGTTAAAAAGTGTTTGAGGTTTTATTTTGCTGACAACTGCCAATAAGCTTGAGTGACATTCATAACTCTTCACATTAAAAATTTGTTACAATATGAGTAAGTTCTTTGTAGATTGGTTTTCCCAGCAAGAAGAACTTAACACAGATATAGAAGAGATGAACAAGGAGGAGTTAAATAAATGCTTGCGGAAATTTTATACGTCTGCAATAAAACAGGACGGAGGTTACTAAAATAAAGCAACGTTTACCACGATCAGAGCCGCCATTGATCGGCACTTGCGCAACGAGCCACACAACAAGCCATTTTCGATAATCAGCGACAGCCAGTTCACGGAAGCGAACAAAGCTCTAAATTCGTTTCTGAAAACTCTGAGCAAGTCAGGTCAAATTTGTTGTACAGTCCACAAACCGCACTAACAACCGAAGCAGTTTCAAAGCTCTACGAAGCCGGCGAGCTAGTAGATGCAAGATGCCTCGATCCACAAAGGCTACAGCAAACAGCGTGGTTTTTTATAACCCTCTACTTTGGTCGAAGAGGAAGGGAAAACCAGCGTCAATTGACAAAATCAAGCGTAAAGCTCTCCAAAACCCCAAATTCCGGCCTGGAATATTTTGAGCTTAACAGCGAAACGACAGGAGGAGTCTTTTCAACCAAAAATCACCAAGGTGGTCTAGACGACACCGACGACCCATCTGATGGTAAAATGTTCGCAGGCAAAGGGCTTGCTATCTGTCCAGTAGCAGTAGTGAAGGCCTACCTGTCCCATTTAAATCCAAAATGTGAAGCACTCTTTCAGAAGCCTTTAACTGGTGCTAAATTTAAACCGTCTTCTGATTTCATTTGGTATTCAACACTTCCTCTAGGCCATAACACGATGGACAGCATGATGAAGAATATGTGCCTCCGAGCTGGTATCGATCCTCCTTTCACAAATCACTGCGTCAGGTCGACCACCGTGAATATTTTGTCTTCTAAAGATATAAAAAATCGCCACATAAGAGCAGTCACGGGCCACAAAAGCGATGCAAGTTTCGAATCCTACAACGATCGTCCAACGTTCGAGCAGTTCAAGGATATGTCTTCGGCGATTACAGATTTCATCGACTTCTGCAGACCTGACCATCAAGTCGCCATTAACCCGCTCGCAGAAGTGAATCGTTCTCCCTTGGAGACAGTATCCAAAGCAATTCACCCAAGCACATCCACAAATGTCCAGGAGAACATTTTTGTTCAAGAAAACATGTCGACTAACGCTGCACATGGCATCATTTCTGGTGGCTCCTTCTCCAACTGCTCGTTCAATTTCCACTTAAAGTAAACTTTAAAACAGGATTTTGGAGGTTTTTTTCAGTCCAGACTATTAATTTAGGCTTTCCGTGAGGCCATTCTGAGCATCTTGAAAACATTTTGTGGAAAAAAAAGCTCGAGTAGAGATTTACCACGTTTGAACTTTCTGTAAATAACTCTCCCGTATGCACTGTGCATTCATCACGCATGAATTGACATGTCAAGAAATTGCCTTTAAATGGTTTTCTTTTTAATATTGTCGAGATCACTTCGTGTGTATATTCTAAAACAATTATTCTTTTCAATCTCGGTGAATAGTGGCTTTAAGAATATTTACCTCGATTTCAAAGAATAATTGGTAATTGTACGGGGTTTCGTTATATTGAGGTTCTTTTCCTCATATTCTACCAGTACTGCAATCGAACCTCCACTAGCGGCCACCTCTCTACCATGACCTTTTTTTTTGTCCCGGCGGACAGCAGTCCATGAATTGACTCTTGTATAAACTTCGCTATACAACACCAAAGGCCACTAAAGCGTGTCCCCAACTGCCAAAATAACCTCTCGACAACAGCCATTTTTGTTCAGCAACTGCCGAAAAAGTCAGAAATGGTCGTGAAATTTGAACCGTATGTCGCGTTGATGTTTAACGGCAATCTTATGTTCACTGCAAGTGCTCTATTTATTCTGCTGCGTAAGCTTAAATTGTCTAGTACAATACTTATGGTGAATGTTACGAGACTTGCTCGGTTTGTCATTTTTTATTCAAGACATATATTTAGTACTATCTAAGTTTTTTGTGTATTTTATCCCTATATATATCATTTATGACTGGATTACCATTATAGGATACAGTAAGCATGAACTTGGCATAATAAACATGATGTACCCCCCTAAAGAAATTGTCTTATTTCACCCCTTCCTCCCCATAACGGCTACCTCTCCTCAAAAGGCCACTTTCTTCCGTCCCCAAGGTGGGCGATGTGGAGAGGTTTGACTACATTATTAGGGTTCTTTATACCGATGACTTCGTCATATAGAGGTTCGTTATATCGGAGTTCTATTCTACTGACATTCTGCGCTTTTCAAATTATTTGTAGATAAAGGAGGAGATCTAACATTGTACATGACTGGAAAGAAACTAAGGCCAATAACAGAGCCCATGTATAGTGGCGAAAATAGACTGGACTTCCCCATCACCAATGGATATGAGACAGATCATTACACTCATTTTATCAGTAGCCATGTTTTTAATAGCAAAAACATTTTGATTTCCCAGAGCATGCATGATGGCTTCTTCTCTGGAATCTTTGCAATTTCAAAACTTTACAATCCAAGACCTGCGACAAGTTGGGGAATTAAAAGGAACTACGACGCGTTTCTTGAGTTCGTCAATGAGGAATGGAAATGGGTTGATGGTAAGTCAAAGGGGATATACTCCCTTGCCTGTGATGAGAAGTTTGGTTTCGGGGTGTTCTTTATGAAAGGCTATGGCACGACACAAGTCATTATAGAAAGCACGGATGATATAGAGAAACAATGGGATGACGGTCTTAAAATAACTTCGTGTGCTGCCCTAGATTCAACATTTTACATCATCATGACAGAAGACACTAAGGAATACCATGGAAAACAGCAGAAGTGGTTTACTCGTAGTACCTGGAGTGCAACAAATGCTGAAATACAGGAGGGATACAAAGAAGGAAAAGCCATCACTGGAATATGTTATTCCAGTGGGCTGAAGCAGTATTTTGTTGTGATGACAGCCTCAATGGGGGCGCAGTGTTTCGACTGGTTCGACACGACTGAACAAAAAGCCATGAATGATTGGGAACTTGAGAAATTTAAACAGGGATTCCATCCTACTATCATCTTCATGGATCCAACTGACAATAATATTTTAATTGTGATGACTAAGGATGAAAATAGATCGGTTTTTGTACGTCGTTCTCACTTTAAATTAAGGTAGACTCCTTTAGTTTAATCCAGTTGAATGAAATTGCTTTGAAAGGAAGAACATTGCAAAGTTTTCATTTTTCTTATTGGTTTCATTCAGAGTTTATTTCAATAATTAATCCTATAGTTGCTATCTGAAAAAAGCATAATTTCCTCCTATGACTGAAAGCTAACCGGCAAAATAAACTAGACGAGGTGCTATCCTTATATCCCCCAGTATATTGTTTTTGCCCGGCATGATGTCGATAAGGGTTTTTTTTTTAGTTTCGAACCGAATGGGGCGTAAATAACATTTGTTTGTTTGTTTGTTTTGTTTTCTTTTGTTTGTTTATTGGTTGTTGTTTTTTTTTTATCGTTAAAGTGTTCCTTTTTGGTCTTCTTCGTGAGGAACTCAGTTTGTTGTTGTTGTTGTTGTTGTTTTTTCTTTTAATGCAGTTGTTCTTTTTTGTTGCTGCCATCTGTGAAATCCTTAGATAGTTGATAGTTGATTTAGACAGAGTTGTCCCCAGGACATGATTACTGCATCTCTATAGTGTTAAATAAAAAATACCATGTCTGTTTTACAGTAAACGCAGGAATAGAGCTAACCAAGCTTCAAACAACTCGACCAAGGTAATAGTCAGTGTCCATACTTAATTACAGGAGATTCCGTTGCAGGAGGTTAAACGTGAAACTATTTTAACTACTCATCCCTGTCCAATTTTGTGGTTCTTTTACGGACCAGATGCGGTTGCAGTATACTTGTAGTTCCTGTGTGGTTGGTTTGTAGCTCTTAAGAACAAAGAAATACTTTCACAATTTTATAGTATATTTTAGTGGGGGCTTTACTCGGAATTTACAAATTTTAGTGAATTTTAGCATATTATCTTATATAAAGTTTTTTAATTACTTTATCGTAACTGTTACAATAGTTTAGTATTGTATATTACAGTTAGAGTAGGGTCTCAAGAGGGTTAGCTTCAACCCTCAGGTTAACTTTCAGAACTATCAGACGTCGAAAAAGGTGATTTTTTTACCGTTTACCTTCAACATTATTTTTTGTTATATTCCTAGACTTTCACACAACTAAACAGGGACTGCCATTGGTTGATTGTTGCTCACGTGGCCTTGACTAAAATCAAATATATCCCGATCGTGACACATTAAGCAGTGTACCCCGCTCGGGCTACATTACAGCACGTGATCAAAACGTGGTGGAAAGTGGTGCGACAGAAGGCGGGAAAAACCCTGCCAGTTTTCTTTTTCGTGAATGAACACAACAACTTGAACACAAACACGAAGCCTCAAGCTAAAAAGCAACGATTTTTAAAGTCGTCCCAGAAGAGAAACACCAACTAGTGGAAGAAAAAGATATAGATAAAATAAGGAAAGTACTTTGTAAATCATTCATTCAGTGGTTTGAAGAATTAAATTTGAGTTGTTATAAGTACCGAGTCGACTGTTTTGGTTCGCTCCGGTTATTCTTCTGTTGCTGTTGAAGTGAAAGTCGAGAAATATAACAAAACACTTAAAGTCAGGTCCCAAGGGAAACCAGTTAGTTTTGTTTTCCCTCGAGTCCTGATGTTTCCCTCGACGAAACAAAACTAACTGTTTCCCTCGGGATCTGGCATTAAGTGTATAATATAACCTCAGTGTTCTCAATTACCTCGTGTAGTAAATACATCAATACTTGAATGGATAAATTTGTTATAATTATATAGCTGGTAGCTGGTACGATATTTTCAGCAAAGCTGATTATCCCTCAAGTTTTTAACAACTTAGGAACTGTCCAATTAAGAATAAATTTGGATATTTTCAGATAGGGCTTGATTATAATTTCCTTTACAAATAAGCAAATTGTCCGATTTAAGAAAAATAGGACAGCTTGTCTGGTGGCCAAGACAAATTATTGGGAGAAAGACCCCTTTCAATTGATGGCTTTGTATTCACTACAGGTATCAGTCTTTCTAAGAGTAGATGGAGGGTGAGATGTAAGATTTGAGTTAAAGTCAACAATTTGTTCGGTTATCGAACAAACTCGAACGGTTCAGTTCGCAGACTATGTAGCATTTGTTCGATTATCGAACTCACAAAGATTTCCGTGCTCGATTTTGTTCGATTCATAACCGAATTCAATGGAACCATTAAGTTCGATCAGGAGCCCATAACGCGGAGCGTCTATCTTCCATACTGCGCCTATGCAACGGCGTTTTCACAAGTAGGTCTATTTTTAGATAAGCCTTTCCCTCGAATTGCTTTCGAAAGGCCAATCACAAGCAAGTGCGTCATCAAAAATAAACTTTTAATACGTAACCAGGACAACTCCTTCACATTGAAAAAAAAGCATGGCGGACGCACATGAGGAATCTTCAGAGGATTTTTCTGACAGTACTTCAAGCGACAATTTCAGTATTTACACGGAATTTAGCAGTTCAGAGGAAGATCTGCAAAACGTAGAAGTAATTAAGAACCCGGGACGTCTACTTCATCGGCGACAACGCATAATTCACGCAAAGGGAAATCGAAATCATCTTCGAAACAGTCGACTGTGAAAAGGTTAAGCGACAACAGTCATTTTTCGCGGGAAAAGCTTATCTAAAAATAGACTCACTTGTAAAAACGCCGTTGCACGAATTTATGGCAGTTGCAAGCTCCGGGTTATGGGCTCCTGGTTCGATTGATTTCAGTAGGGCAGATACAAGTGATTGCAAAGTCTGTAGCTTTTCACTAGTCTTAAGGCTAACGTTAACGAGATTCCGGATATCTAGGGCTGAATCAGTCCAGATATCAATGATCAGGATTCCGTTTTGCGAAGCTAAAATTTCCAGGATTTGATTAAAAAAACTGATAGGATTGTTGCGTAATGTTCAAGGATGTTCTAGAACGTGCCGTATTATGCTTAGTCATTGTTGCGAATGCGAAAGATGCAGGCCAGTACTTCTCAAACTTCCCTTTTTATTTTTTTTAATTTAGAGTTTTTGATATTTTGCAGTATTTTGAAACGATTTTTCCTTCAGTGGAAAGCCCTTGATCTTCTCTACAAGATGAGGTATATTTGGGTGGGCCGGAAGCTCTAAGGACAGCTTAATTAGAGGACTGGTTTAGAAACAATAGATAGCCCTAACCCAAACAAAACTAACAATGAACCCCAACTCTGAAACAATAGGCTTTCGGGCCAACAAGAACCTATCAAATTAAGAGGTTCTAAAGAGGTGCTGGCCAACAGGTATATTTTATGAGTGGTGGCGCTGCTGGGGGCCGGTGACGTCACCAACAATAGTCGCCATCTTGGATTTTACCAAGGATTAGAAATCAGGTTAACACTGCGAGGAATGGTCATTTTTTTGTGCTTGACAGGAAAAATAACACAAACTATTTCATTTCAAGATGCTAATGTTATTATCTGGAAATGAGCTAACTAATTAGCCTTAAAAACGTTCACGAATAAAAAATGTAAATTAACGGTAGGAAATAAGCCAGGGACGAAGAGGGCTGCATGAGAGGTAAGAAACAGGGAGCGAAGTAAGAATCAAGTAAGGAAAGGTCGAAGTAACAGTGGAAAATTGAAAAGCAGGAACTGAGAAATCAGTCTTAAATAACAAGGCAAAGTGTAACTGTTAAGTAAGTGATCGGACTGATTGTTTGCATACTATGAAGGACTGAAACCACTGGGACCATTCTGCAACGCTCCGAAAAACTACAAATGAAGTCAAAAACACAAAGCAATGAGAAAGAACATAATTAATAGTCACAGATTCAACCCTATTTCAACATTATTAGTATTACACTGACTTTCTTTGTTGACAAAAATTAAATTGAACAACCCAGACACTCTTCCTCTACAAAAATCCTGCATATTCGGGCCCCAGTCAGGTGAATATGTTCCAGATCAACTATGAGGTGAATAACTGAAATTGCAGGCAAACTTTTCTGAACAAGTTTGATCTTTCCACCTAGCACCAGGGCTGTCACTAAGGTTTCAAGTTGCCGGGTAAATACAACCAGTAGGCGGGGAATCAAACAGCTAGGGATTTCTTTTGGTTCTATTTTTCTTCTATTTTCCTATGAAAGTAGGCGGGGGCCACGTTCTTAGTAGACGGGGGAAATCCCCGGCCCCCGCCTCTTAATGACAACCCTGTAGTACTAGGCCGTTAAATATCTTAGCCAAGTCTTAATTGTGTGACATTTAATAACTACTTTTTATTATAGATTTAATATGTGTTGCTAGTCATCGGTTCCTTCGAACCCAACAAAGACTGTTGTTGCAATACATCCTTTTTTACTTTATTCATTGCATCAAAGGAACCTCACCTACTTTCTAGTCTATTCATGAATTTAATTAACATATTAAATTCTTGTTATCATTCAGTGTAAATGTGAGATATGAAACATGAAAGTTTCACCTACTGAAAAAAAAAAAACATTCCAGCCATTATTGGGTAAAAAAAAAGAGATTTCCATCTGACATGGTCCACCCCTTAGCTGTAGGCTCTTAGCCAATGAGAGGGCAGATAATGAATACAATGTATAATAATTTTACTTATTAGTTGTGAAACCTCATCAGCCAGCATGGGAAAAATTGGTGGAGAATTTTGGAATTGACATATTACTTCCAAACGATAAGATCGACAGGGAGAAGCTGGGGAAGATTGTCTTTGGTGATGATGCTAAAAGGCGTGTACTTAACAAGTGCACTCACCCCGCTATTTATCAGGCAATCTGGTGGAAACTTGTCAATTACTTTCTTACAGGTATGAATTAATTAAAGTCAAACAATGAACCACAGAAAAATATGGTAATGGTATAAAAACAGAGCAGAACAAGACAAAACTTACAAGATAAAAGGGACCTCAGCTGGTGTACATGTATAGTGTACCATAAACTTCCGCTTATAAGCTCC